GGAGAATTAAGTGAGAGAATGTGTAGAGATCATTTTGTAAATTACATTGTGTGGTTCCAATATCCAGTTAGTTTCCAGCTTATTATTCACAAAAAGGGAACTGTCCTTGTGTGTGTTCTTTAGCAGTTGAGAGTGAGCGTTTCGGTTTTCTGATTGCTTTCATGTCTCTTAGATTTTTAAGGAACCTCCATACCGTATACTCCATAGTGGCTGTATCAACTTACATTCCCACCAGCGGTTCAAGAGGGTTCCCCTTTCTCCACAACCTCTTCAGCATTTATTGTTCATAGACTTTTAAATGATGACTGTCGTCATGTCTTTTATTTTTAATTCATAGAATTCATTGAGTGTTTTCTCTGCATGCTTGCATGCTAAGTCGCTTCAGTCTTGTCTGACTCTTTGTGACCCCGTGGACAGTAGTCCGCCAGTCTCCTCTGCCCATGGGATTCTCAGGCAGGAATACTGGAGCGGGTTGCCATGCCCTCCTCCCAGGGATCTAACCCGTGTCTCTTGAGTCTCAAGCATTGGCAGGTGGGTTCTTACCACTAGCACTACATGTGGAATGAGAAATTTAGTCTTTTGTCAAAGATGTAAGGCAAATAGAGAAAGTCTGGAAGTTTAAAAGAGGATTGGAAACTCATAAATCATTCTGTACTTACTTACTTGCGAGTCTGAGATGAGTGGTGGTCCTAAATAAGGTCCAGGTGGAGAGGGGACCAAGTTTCTGGAGATTTTACCTCCTGATTCTAGTTGCCCCTTTGTTCCTTTGAGAAGGAAGTCCTCAGGGCTCACTAGTGGTTGCTGAAGTCGGAGGCCCATTTAAATCACCATTTTAAATCTGGAACTTGGAACCTGGTTCTGCTTTGCGGAAGGTTTGCATTATCTTCCAAAACTTCCTGGTTGAGATATATAAATATATATTTATATTTTATGTATGTTTATATATGTACATATGCACATGTGTTTGTGTATACTTTTTCCCCCATGGCATTCAACATTTAACAATTTGTGATTTGCTTTTTTTTGAAACCATGCAATGCTTTTATGGGGTTTTTTTACTTCTAATAAGAATGTTTGGTTATAGAGATTTGGAGTTAGATAGATGTAATCCTCTACGCCTTTTATTAGATGCTAAATATTGAGTTAGAGTTTCATAGAGTACTCAAATTGGTAAGGAACATGAAACAACATTGCATGTAATAAACTGTTTAATAATTCCCTGTCTCTAAATATCAGTTTGTGGTTTCCTGTTACTTTGACTGGAAAAGTAAGGCTTATTACCATAGTGAATGAGCTCGCTTCCACGTTATTTCCTAGTCTTTGTCTCTTACACCCTGAGAACCTTTTACAACAGAAAGAGAAGGGATGGGAAATTTTCTCAGTCATCTCCATTCTTAAAAGTAATAGCTTTGTTGTAAAATAAGAATATGCTAATGCACAACCTGAACATCATTGAAAATCTGATAGCCTGAGGTTTTTAAGGTTATTTTTGTGAATCTGTCCATTCTCAGTATCAATAACCTCAGATGTGCAGATGACACCACCCTTAGGGCAGGAAACAAAGAAGAACTAAAGAGCCTGTTGATGGAGGTGAGAGAGGAGAGTGAAAAAGGTGGCTTAAGACTCAACATTCAAAAAACTAAGATCGTGGCATCCAGTCCCATCACTTCATGGTAAATACATAGAGAAACAATGAAAACAGTGAGAAACTTTGTTGTCATCGGCTCTAAAATCACTATAGATAGTGACTGCAGCCATGAAATTAAAAGACGCTTTGCCCCTTGAAAGAAAAGCTATTACTAACCTTGACTGCTAATATGCTAACTGACACCATATTAAAAAGCAGAGACATTACTTTGCCAACAAAGGTCTGTCTAGGCAAAGCTATGGTTTTTCCAGTAGTCATGTATGGATGTGAGAGTCGGACTATGAAGAAAGCTGAGGGCTGAAAAATTGATGCTTTTGAACTGTGGTGTTGGAGAAAACTCTTGAGAGTCCCTTGGACTGCAAGGAGGTCCAACCAGTCCATCCTAAAGGAGATGAGTCCTGGGTGTTCACTGGAAGGACTGATGCTGAAGCTGAAACTCCAGTACTTTGGCCACCTGATGCGAAGAGCTGACTCATTTGAAAAGACCCTGATGCTGGGAAAGATTGAAGGCGGGAGGAGAAGGGAACCAGAGAGTTTGAGATGGTTGGATGGCATTACCGACACAATGGACATGAGTTTGAGTAAACTCCGGGAGTTGGTGATGGGCAGGGAGGCCTGGTGTGCTGCAGTCCATGGGGTCACAAAGAGTCGGACACAACAGCAACTGAACTGAACTGTGGTGTTGGAGAAGACTCTTAGGAGTCCCTTGGAGAACAACGGGATCAAACCAGTCAATCCTAAAGGATATCAGTCCTGAATATTCATTGGAAGGACTGATGGCTGAAGATGAAACTCCAGTACTTTGGCCACCTGATGCAAAGAGCCAACTCATTAGAAAAACCCTGATGCTGGGAAAGATTGAAGGCAGGAGCAGAAGGGGATGACAGAGGATGAGATGTTGGATGGCATCACCGACTCAATGGACATGAGTTTGCGCGAGTTCTGGGATATGGTGAAGGACAGAGAAGCCTGACATGTAGCGGTCCATAGGGTTGCAAAAAGTCGAACGCAGCTGAACAACATTCTCCTCCATTTGGGCAGTGGGTTTTTAGAGTTCAGAGTTCCGTGTCTTAGTTTGCATTAAGCTTTGAGGTACAGGTTATACATATGAAGGATCAGATAGTAAAGAAGCTGCCTGCAATGCAGAAGACCCAGGTTCAATCCGTGGGTTGGGAAGATCTCCTGGAGAAGGGAGTGGCAACCTACTGCAGTTTTCTTGCCTGGAGAATCCCACGGATAGAGGAGCCCCGGGGGCTACAGTCCCTGGGGTCACAAAGAGTCAGACACGACTGAGCAACTGATGCTTTCACCTTTTCTACATATGAAAGCCGGTGATGACACATCACTAGTATTTTGTACCTTAAAAAGTCAATATTAATGAAGTCACCAAATGAAATTTGGTGATCACTTACACGTGTAGTTCATGTTTGAGTTTGTGAAGTCTTAGTTGTTCTGTCGTTTTGTTTTAATCAGAATATCTAAATTTCAATGGTTATTTTTCACTTTTTTTTTAGGATTATCGAAACATAGCTGATTTTCTTATTAAAATCAGGGTTTAAAACAAGTATAGTTTTAATAGCACCATCAAGTATAGGGTTTCCCTGATAGTTCAGTTGGTAAAGAATCCACTTGGAACACAGGAGACCCCGGTTCTATTCCTGGGTTGGGAAGATGCTCTGGAGAAGGGATTGGCTACCCACTCCAGTATTCTTAGGCTCCTTTGTGTCTCAGCTGGTAAAGAATCTGCCTGCAATGCGGGACACCTGGGTTCTATCCCTGAGTTGGGAAGATCCTCTGGAGAAGGGAAAGGCTACCCACCCAGTATTCTGGCCTGGAGAATTCCTTATAGTCCATGGGGTTGCATAGAGTCGGACACAACTGAGGGACTTTCACAACAATAGGAAGAAATAAAGTTAGTATGGTGAGGAAAATTACAAGAAACTTGTATATGGTTCAGAAAACTACTTCCTATTTTTGTTATAATGGCAAATTTGAATTTTAGTATTCCTTAATATAATTTAGAATGATCCAAAGCAGTTGCTTCATTCCTATCAGTTTAATCAATTGTTTTATATGCTTTATATCTTAAAATCTAATGTTGTAGTATGTAGCCTCATGTATTCTTTAGTTAATATTAACATGATTTTTGTTCTAACAGCAGGTGCCAATCAGAACTGCTCTAGGGACTTCCCTGGTGGTCCCTGGTTAAGCCCCTTCGAGTCTGATGCAGGAGGCGTGGTTTTGATCCCTGGTCAGGGAACTATGATCCCACATCCTCATGGCACAGCTGCCTGCCCCAAAATGCTCTGATACCCAAATAGAATTTGCAGGAGTGAACTGGAAACAGGAAAGGCTCTTATTAGAAAACACATGGCCCTCATCAGACTGTTAACTTAAGAGTTTTGACAGTTTTGGTGAAACTCAATTGGAAGATTGAGTTGTGTGAGGAATCCTGGAGAGTTAATAATTAAGTTATCCATACCAATTTTGTAGCTAGTGAGCAAGAATGCTTGAATTATCCACCACTCTGATGATCTACCTGAAATGTCTTTCCCCAAGATATCTTTTTATGATATTTTAGTTAAGAACTGATTAAATAAATCGACTGTTTTTTAATGTTTTAAGTAAATCTTACTTTGTCCACATAATTGCTTTAAAGAATAAATGTAATTGCCTTAAAACAATGGGAATAAAGAGGTAGACAAGTGTGATTTAGAATCAAATCACAGGCCTACTTAAATTATACCCTCTCCTAAATGGATCTCTCAGCTGCACATTAATGCCTAAAAGAGTAACTAGTAACTATGGGAAGGCATAGTAGAATTTCAGTTAAAACTGGAGATTCAAAGAGGTGGTCAGGTACCATTTGTTGTTGAGTTAAGTTCTGTCCATCTCTTTCGCCACCCCGTGGACTGTAGCTCGCCAGGTTCCTCTGTCCATGGGATTTCCCAGGCAAGAATGCTGGGGTGAGCTGCCATCTCCTTCTCCAGAGGACCTTCTCAACCCAGGAAATGAATCTGCGTCTCCTGCGTCGGCAGGTGGATTCTCTACCATTGAGCCCCTGGGACGCTCAGTCAAGTCCAATACAAGTTGCTGATTACCCTGTCATGTGTGTATGTTGTTACCTGGTTAGTTTTATGATGATTTTAAAGAAAGAGTTAACTTTGCATTTGATCTGCCTTTCCTACTCCACCCCTCACATCTTTTAAAGATATTTAATTTGAGTTGATAGTGCATCTTTTCCCTCCTTCACGCTTGGAGGTAAACGTACTTAAACATCTATGCATGTAAGTAGTAATGCAAAAGCCCTTTCAAAGTCTTACCCTGTTGGTTGATTTTGTTGCGTTGGCAGAGTGAAGACAGTCCAAGCCCCAAGAGACAGCGCCTCTCTCACTCAGTCTTCGATTACACGTCAGCATCACCAGCTCCCTCTCCACCAATGCGACCATGGGAGATGACATCAAATAGGCAGCCCCCTTCAGTTCGACCAAGCCAGCATCACTTCTCAGGGGACCGATGCAGCACACCTGCACGCAACAGAAGGAGGTTGGTCGGTTACGTCACTTCTTAGACCTTGGGTCACTGATAGAGCGTCTTTAAACCTCAGAAAGCGTTTTCTTCTGTAGGCATTTTATAAATATATCAACACCTTTATCTCTGTACACTCACACACAAACAACATTACAAGTTGTTTAGACTATCACACTACATCATGAGAATTCATTTAGCTTGGGATTGACAGATGTAGAAATTGTATAATAAGAGGCTCAAGTGATTTACTTAAAATCAATCCATACCATTATATATGAATTCAACTACCTCAAGGTTTAAGACTTTTTGTGGGCTAGCCTTCAATCCATATTACCGAAAAATGCATTTTATAATTTACAACGGTACTTCAAAATCCTTGTAGATGATGACTGCAGCCGTGAAATTAAAAGATGCTTGCTCCTTGCAAGAAAAGCTATGACAAATCTAGACAGTGTATTAAAAAGCAGAGACATTATTTTGCCAACAAGTCTGTATAGTCAAGGCTATGGTTTTTCCAGTAGTCATGTATGGATGTGAGAGTTGGACCATAAAGAAGGCTGAGCACTGAAGAATTGACGCTTTTGAACTGTGGTGTTGGAGAAGACTCTTGAGAGTCACTTGGACTGCAAGGAGATCCAACCAGTCAATCCTAAAGGAAAAGAGTGCTGAATATTCATTGGAAGGACAGATGCTGAAGCTGAAGCTCTAATCTTTGACCACCTGATGCAAAGAGCCGACACTTTGGAAAAGACACTGATGCTGGGAAAGATTGAAGGCAGGAGGAGAAGGGGACAACAGAGGATGAGATGGTTGGATGGCATCACCGACTCAATGGACATGAGTTTGAGCAAGTTCCAGGAGATGTTGAAGGATAGGGAAGCCTGGTGCGCTGCAGTTCATGGGGTCACAAAAAGTCAGACACGACTTGAGCAACTGAACAACATCAGTGGAAGTCTTAGGAATGAGCAGTCTCTTCTTCACTTCATTATTGTCCATCCCATTCTTACAAATGAATAACCTCTCTCCACAAATATTCCTTCTGTATTCTCTAAGGCAGCTGTGGCTTAATTAAGTTTCCTTTCAAATTTTGAGGACCCTGTGATATGAGGAGTGACTGAAGTTTAGTTCAACTTTCAGTCCTCTCTTCTATGTGGGATTTGGCTCTTACTTTTTTCTCCAGGGAATACGTTTCCTGAGCTGCTTCCTGTTTAGTAGTGGCCTGAGGTTATACCTTTCCTTTCCAAGGATATAGAGCATTCTTGAAATGAGATAACTGTTTATGTTTCCAGGTTGTTGATAATCTAAGAAGTACTGATGATCTCGAAGTAGTAAGGTGTTACAGACTGAATATGTTTCCTGAATATCCATAGGCTGATGCCTTAACCCACAGTGTGGATGAACTTGGAGATGGGGCCTCTAAGGAAGTAATTAAGGCTAAATGAAACCATCAGGACAGGTCCCTGATCCAAGAGAATTAGTGTCCTTACAAGACTCCAGGGAGAGAGCTTTCACCAGAAATCAAGCATGCTGGCACCTTGATCTTGGACATTTAGTCTCTAGAACTTGAGAAAATAAATTTCTGTTATTTAAGCCAGTCTATGATATGTTGTTAGGGCAGCCTTAGGGAACTTAATTTTGGCTCAGACGGTAAAGAATCTGCCTGTAGTGTAGGAGACCCGGGTTTGATCCCTGAATTGTGAAGATCCCCTAGAGTAGGGAATAGCTACCCATTTCAATATTCTTGCCTGGAGAATTCCATGGACAGAGGAGTCTGATGGGCTATAGTCAGTGGGGTTGAACCAGTCGGACACAACTGAGTGATTAACACACAGGTAACTTAATACTGAAGGGATCTTAAAACCCATCATTTGTTCCAAATCAGACAAGATAAACCTGTTCCTGAGGTATATTCTGTTGAGACCAGTAAACTTCCACATTATCTGATGCATTATTACCCAATTATATGGGAATGTTTAAGTAAAATAATGTTATGCCAACCAGGTAAAATATTTCATAGCTGTTAAATATAATAACTTGAGGAAATAACACCTGAGCACCTGCTGTAACATTTTCTATTGTTTTATGGTGAAATGTACCATACATTCAGGAGAACTTGTAGAACAAGTGTACATTTAAAAAGGGTGACACACAAGTGTGCCCTACACTCAGGTTAAAATAGAACGTCAGAATCCCTCCTTCCTGGAAGATAAACCCTTTCCTGTGGTTTGTCGTAACTCCCTTGGTACATCTTTTTAATACCTGTAAATACATTCTAAAAACACTACTAAACAGTTTTTTTTTTTCATTTATTTTTATTAGTTGGAAGCTAATTACTTTACAGTATTGTAGTGGTTTTTGTCATATGTTGACATGAATCAGCCATGGATTTACATGTATTCCCCATCCCGATCCCCCCTCCCACCTCCCTCTCTACCCAATCCCTCTCGGTCTTTTTTAATGTGGGTAGCAGTAGTTCATTTATTGTGATATAATCTTCCATTGAATTAATGTACCATAATTTATGTACCCACCTACTGTTGGGTAATAGTTATGCCCAGTTTGGGTAATAAAAAGAGTTCTGTTAGGACCCTGTGTGTACACAACTCCTAGTGTGCATGTGTAAGCATTTCATGAAGATAAAAGCCTAGGAGTACAATTGTAGGTCATCAAATGTGTTTTGGACCAGAAAGGGCATGTCAGTCTCTGTTGCTGGATGGCAGTAACTAGTTTTCAGGTTGAAAAGAAGCATCAATCTCCATATTCATCGAACACAAAGGAGAAATAGGGAGCACTTACCTAGAAAACAAGCTCCAGATTCGTTATGCCCAGCATTGTGTGTTATTTGTTACTTCCTTCTCACTTGAGTACTATACTTTTGCTGCTGCTGAGTTGCTTCAGTTGTGTCCGACTCTGTGACCGCATAGATGGCAGCCCACCAGGCTCCTCCTTCCCTGGGATTCTCCAGGCAAAAATACTGAAGTGGGTTGCCATTTCCTTCTCTGATGCATGCATGCATGCTAAGTCGCTTCAGTCGTGTCCAACGCTGTGCAACCCTTTGGATAGCAGCCCACCAGGCTCCTCCATCCACAGGATTCTCCAGGCAAGAATACTGGAGTGGGTTGTCATTTCCTTCTCCTTAGTACTTACAGGCTAGCTGTAAGTTTAACCGCCAGCTTTTCTGCCAGAAGTAGGGTTTATAAGCAGATGCAGTATTCAGCAGCAGTCTGATACAACTTCAGATACAAGGATGAGCAACACTGGGAAGTTACCAGACATTTGAAGAAGCCGACAAAGTGAAAGAAAGTCTCCGAGACGCAGAGAGAGAGCTTGAAGTAACAGTTAGTAAGATAACTAAGACAGTTAAGAAACAAGAATAATTTTCAATTGAGAGAAGTACAAGCGATTGTATCCCTACAAATCAACTGGAAATCTTAGTTGGTAGATTAATGAACAGGCAGAAGAAACATCTTGGTCCCTGGAAGATCAAGTGAAAGAGTTTTCCCAGAATGTAATGTAAAAAGGGAAAAATGGAAAATGTGGGAAAGAAATTTAAATATTGACAGAGTCATCAGTTATAAATACATCTAATCATATTTCCAGATGGAAACAATAGAAGGGAACAGTTTTTATAGAAATAGTATAAAAATCATTTTCAGGAATTAAAAAACAGGTGTTGAGCAAGATCTTGGTGAAATTCAAGAATGTGCATAAACATTCAGAGAGAAAGTTGAGCAATAAGAGATCTTTCCTGAATCATACACCTTGATCAAGAGGGATTTATCCCAGGGTTGCAAGGATTTTTGTTCAATATTTGCAGTTTAGTCTGTGATACACCACATTAGCAAATTGAAGAATAAAAACCATATAATCACCTCAGTAGATGTAGAGACAGCTTTTGATAAAATTTGACCCCATTTATGATTTTAAAACTTTTCAGAACGTAGGCATAGAGGGAACATCCCTCAACATAATAAAGGTCATATGTGACAAAGCCACAGCTAATGTCACACTCAACAGTGAAAAGCTGAGAGCCTTCCCTCCAAGATCAGGCACTAGACAAAGATGTCCACTCTTGCCACTTTTATTTAGTATGGTTTTAGACATCCTACCCAAAGCAGTTAGATGGAAAAAAGAAATAGAAAGGATCTAAATTGGAAAGGAAGAAATAAAACCATCACTGTTTGCAGGTGATATAATACTATACATAGAAAATCCTAAAGATGCCACCAGAAAACTACTAGAGCTCATCAATGAATTCAGTGAACTTGCAGGATACAGAACTAATATACTGAAATCTGTTGCATTTCTACCCATGAGCAACAAACTATCAGAAAGAAAGATACACCATGTTCTTGGATTGGAAGAATTAATATTGTTAAAAGGACCATACTGTGCAAGGCAGTCTACAGATGCAGTGCAATCTCTATCAAAATACCAATGACATTTTTCACGGAACTAGAACAAATAAGTTTAAAATTTCTGTGGAAACACAAAATACCCAAATAGCAAAACAGTCTTGAGAAGAAACAACAGAGCTGGAAGAATCAATCGCTCCCTAACTTTCAGACTATATTGCGAAGCTACAAGCATCAGAAAAGCGTGGTACTGGCATAAAAAGAGAAACATCGATAACCGGGACAGGACAGAAAACCCAGAAATACACCCACGTACTACGGTCAGTTTATGATAGGAGACAACATACAGTGGAGAAAAAAGTCTCTTCAGTGATGCTGGAAAAAATGGACAGGTACATGGGGAAAAACAGAATATTCCCTAATACCATGTAAAGAAATAAACTCAGTGTGGATTAAAGACTTAAATGTAAGACCAGTTAACTGTAAAACTTCTGGAGGAAAACATGGGCTAACTCTTTGATATAAATTGCAACAGTACTTTTTTGGACGTGGCTCCTAAAGCAAAGAAAATAAAAGCAAAAATAAGCAATTGAGACTTAATTGACCTTAAAAGCTTTTGCACAGCAGAGGAAATCATCAACAAAATGAAAAGACAACATACTGAATGGGAAAAGGTATATGCAAATAATATAACTGGTAAAGAGTTAACTGTCATATGTATATAAACAGCTCATAACAGAAAAACAATTTGATTTTAAAAATAGGCAGAAGACCTGAATAGACATTTTTCCAGAGAGGAAATGTGGATGGCCAACAGACGCCTGGAAAGATACTCAGCATCACTAATCATGAAGTTAATGCAAATTTAAACCACAGTGAGGTACCACCTCACCCCTGTTAGAACAGCTGTTATCAAAAAGAACCCGAAAAGCAAACGTGAGAGAGGCTGTGGGGAAAGGAGAGCCCTTGCACACGGCTGCCGGGATGTGAGTCCGCGCGCCAAGCGCGGAGGATAGTGCGGAGGTTTCTCAGCAAAGCTGGAGGTAGAACCGCCGTATTGTCCAGCAGTTCCACTCCTGGGTACACATTTGTAACAGAGAAAAAACTAATTCAGAAAGACACACACTCCGATGTTCTTAGTAGCACTGTTTTCATTTGCCGAGGTATGGAAACAGCCTAAGTGAGATGAATAGATGAATGGGTAAAGAATATGTAGTAGAATACTGCCCAGCCATAAAAAGACTGAAGTTCTGCCGTTTGCAGCAGAATGGATGGACTTGGCATTATGCTAAGTGAAATAAGTCAAGAGAAAGACAAACACTGTATGGTATCACTTATATGTGAAATCTAAAAGGTACAGCAAAGTAGTGAATATAGCAAAAAAACAAGACTCACAGGGAGAGGGAAGAAAGGTGAGGACCAGCACAGGAGTAGGGAGTTAAGAGGTGCAAACTAGTGAGTATGAGATAAGCCATAGGAATACATTGTACAATCCGGGGAACATAGCCAATAGTTTATAATGATTATAAAGGGGATGGAGCCTTTTAAAATTTTGAGTCAGTATGTTGTATATTTCTAACTTACATAATATTGTATGGCAACTATACTTCTAATTAAAACAGAAAACCTTCTTGAAAGAATTATTAAAAACTGTATTCTACCTACGAAGTAGAAGAATAAATGCAGAAAGGAGGATTTAATATGATTTGGTTAGGAAAGGAAAAAAGACATTGCTAAGTCTGAATAAAAGTCTCTTTAAAAAAAGACAAAATTTTTTTTTAAAAATCTGAACATAAAATGAGGACAGCAGAGAGAAGTAAAAATGTGCAATCCAGATTTTTTTTTAATGTAAGTATATGTTTAAAAATCTAAGTGTAGTCACTGGAAGAATAAAACTGATATATATAGCTTCCACACAATGAAACAGATAAACAGCAAGTAGTCTAGAAAACTCAATCCAACAAAGGTACATAAGTGAACCAGGAGGGAATAGCCTTGTGCTTTATATGTCTAAAACAAAGTGATAAAGTAGTATCTATCACTGATATAAAAGTCAATTGAGAAATATTTGTCCATCTTGTCACTGTTTCTTACTTCTAGATTTTCAAATAATTTTGCTTTCTAAATGTTCTACCACAAAGTCATATAATATTTAATAAGAGGAAATTCAGGAAAGATAGGGATCAAAATTGTCAAGAATATGCATTAGATAGGGATCAAAATTGTCGAGGAGTATGCATTTCAGCATGAGGACTTGGGCCTTAATTTGTGTGAGTTTTGAGTTTCTGAGATTATGTTTGAGTTGGGAAGTAAGAGCAAGAAGCAGCAATGGATTCAAATAGTAATAAAAGGGGCCCTTAAAGTTTGTGAACAGGATGAGTGTTTTTCGGGAGATGATCTGGGCGTGTATATTTTGTATTTTGATTTTAAAGTGCACATTTTTTCACATCACAATATATCTATATTGATGGTATAAAGTGAAGTGTTAGTCGCTCAGTCGTGTCCGTCTCTTTTCAACCCCATGGACGGTGGCCGGCCAGACTCCTCTGTCTGTGGAATTCTCCAGGCAAGAATACTGGAGTGGATTGCCATTCCCTTCTCCAGGGGATCTTCCTGACTCAAGGATTGGACCCAGGTCTCCCACATTTCAGGCAAATTCTTTACCATCTGAGCCACCAGGGAAGCCTATAGCATAGTCTGATTGGCAGCTTTCTCCCTCTTTTTAGTGATACATTAAATGGTCCTTTAAAATAGTTGTACAGATACAGATAAGTGCATATACATAGATAAATCTTGTTCTCTTCTCTTAGGCTCAAAACAGTGAAGCAGTCAGCACACTTAGCTTTCAGATACCATTCTGCAGTTAAAGGAACCAGGACTCTTTGGAGTCCTCTTTGGAGAACTGGTTAATTCCAGAGTCTGTGTAGGAAAATACTAGATGAGCCTAGTGCACGCTGTGGTCCCTATATTAAGGAATTACTCAAAAGGATAAAGACAATAGTAGAAGATCACAGGAGCCAAAAAGCTCCCATTGAACAGAGTTGAAATAATTTGAACAATAAAATAAAATGACTGTGGTGGATTATCACCTAAAGAATAGAATAAATATCCATTAGCCCCTACTCATAAATAACTAAACAAGTGAGAGAGAAGGAGCAACTCTTCTTTACAGAATTGCAGTTGATATATATGGAAGATATTAAGGGAGTAGAAAATCACCATTAGAATATCATAATAGAGTGATTGCTGAAGATCCATTCATGCAATCTAAAGTTATTGGCAGACTTTTAGCAAAAGCAGAATATTTGCATGATTCAGAGTATCTCCCCAAGAAAATAAAATCTATCACTGCTTCCATTTACCCCTTCTCTTTGTTTGCCGTGAAGTGATGGGACTGGATGCCATGGTCTTAGTTTTTTTATTGTTGAATTTCAAGCCAGCCATTTCACTCTTCCTCTTTTACCTTCAAGAGGCTCTTTAGTTCCTCTTCACTTTCTGCTATTAGAGTGGTATCATCTGCATATCTGAGGTTGTTGATCTTTCTCCTGGCAACCCACCCCAATATTCTTTCCTGGAGAACCCCATGGACAGTAAGAAAATAGGGTCTTGGCAGAAACCTGTTTAGCCAAGTGATTGGTAATACATACATATGCATGAGTGATGCAAATCAGTGTCATGTGGCCCTTTATACAGTGCACTGAAAAGGGCCTATCAACTCTGTCATATCCTTTCCAGTAATGTGTAATGTCATGCAAGTCATGAGAAAACATCAGACAAACCTGGGTTAAGGCTCATTCTGCAGAGTGAGCGTGTCTTCAGAGGTATCAAGGTCATGGAAGATGGAGCTGTCATGGATTGGAGAAGACAAAGGAAGCCTGACTACTATGCAGTAATGGGACCTTGTATTGGATTCTGAAACAGTGAGGGAACATTGGTAGAAAAACTGGGTGAAATCGGGAATACATTGTGTTAATTAATAGTATGATACCAGGGTTCATTTCTTAATTTTGATAATTCTTTGTATTCTAATGGAAGATACTAACAGGGAAAGCTGGGTAAGGGTTATGCAAAGACTATACGAAAAGTATCTCAAAATAAAACATAAAAGTAAGTTCTAAGATAGATGGCACATGAAAATCAATGAAATATAGTTTGTTGGTTTTGAAGCAGAAATGCAAAACAGTTATGCTGAACATAAAGATAGAGGAAGCAGTGAAAGGAGCAGGAGCCTTGCGGATTAGTATTAAGAGCACCGTGGAGGAATTAATATCACAAAAGAATGTCCCTTTTTCTTTTTAAGATTGGGCAGTTGAGAGAAAGAAGAAACAGATTTAGAGGTGCAGAATGCAACAATGAAGGGAAAGGTGACCTGTCCTCAGTGAAGACTGCTGAGGTAGCTGTGTGCAGCTGTGTCTCGAAGGGGGCTGTTTCGCCTCTTGTGCCTGAAGTGGAGTACATTTTTATTGAGGCCTGCTGTTGTTTCGAATTATTACCCATGCTGAGCCCTTGTAAAAAGCAGTGGAACTGAATTGTGGAATTAAGGGACATGGAAAATAGAAGTCTACTTAGGATAACAACTGTTATTTGTGTTTAACTATGTAGATGACACGTGCATAGAGAGTAAAAGTGGTTTCTTTCAGTAGCCAGATTGGACCTTAAAATTCTGTATATCGCTAGAGTATTTATGCTGACACCATCTCACAGTCATTTTCATTCTCAGTATTTATTGTTACTCAGTTATTTGCAATTGTAAATAGATTAAATGCTTTTTAGTTATTACTCATTTTTTTAAATTGTCATCTTGGGCGTGTGGGAACTATGTCTTTTCTATATGCCTTAGCCAGACAGACAAATATAAAATACTCATTAGGCATAATAGGATTACTGCCAAGATATATGCAGATTAAAATTTGTTGTAGAATGTCTATAAAATAAAAGGGACAGAATAGTAAGTTAAATCATAAGAACTTACTGATATTTGTCTGTAAAAAGGGCAATTTTATACAATTAAACCCATACCCCCAAAATGACAGTGATTGGCTATTGATGTCTAAATACTCTGAGCTGAATATCGATTTTGTTTTCTTCCGTTATGTTTTTAAAAAGCATGCATTCTGTTTTGTGTTTAGAGCTGATGATGAACCACAACAGTTCTTTAATACTCAAGCCTATGTTAGCTTATACTGCTAATGGATTACAAAGAGAGACAGTACCGACCCTGATGGAACACGGCAGTAAACATTATAACAACCTCTTTGACATTTTTACTGTATTACAGTCCTCCTGTCAGGCGTCAGAGAGGAAGACGGGATCGTCAGTCTCGACATAATTCCATTAGTCAAGATGAAAATTATCACCATCTCCCTTATGCACAGCAGCAAGCAATAGAAGAGCCTCGAGCCTTCCGCCCTCCGAATGTATCTCCCCGTCTATTACACCCTGCTGCTCATCCGCCCCAGCAGAATGCAGTGATGGTTGACATACATGATCAGGTATAGTAACAGGGTATCCAAGAAATACAGATGCCCAAAGTTGGTAGCAGCTTATCTAGGTTTATTGTTTTTTGTTGTAGATTACTTTTACCTAAAAGAAAACAGTTTTACCTAAAATGAATCCATTTTAGATAAATTCATCATTCTTCATTGAAAATTAAAATTTAAATTCTACACAGCTTCCTTAAAAGAAAGTTGAACTTTAAAAAAATTAAGATCAGGGTTATAAAAGCTCAGAATGACTTCATTGTTATACTTGATTTGAAATGACTGATAGAGGATTTATAGTGAGGTCAGTCAGTCAACTGGTGGTGTGAGGATATACTCCTGTTTTCTGCTTCCTTCCAGTTTCTTCTAGAGTAGTTCAGTAGGCAAAACAGTTGGGTGCAGCTTTGCTTACAAGTTTTCCTAGGTCTCCACTGAGATGACAAGTACCGAGCTTTCTTTCCCTTTGTTCCTGCCAGGAACTGAGGAACTAGCTGAGAAGGAGGGTTTGCCAGACCAAAAATTGACCAAAATTGTATGATTTTTTGAGGTCAGAGATACAAATCTAGACATATTCTTACAAAGTTCCTGGATTTTAAGGGTTAGGGAAAAAAAATCTTCCAAGTTTATAGACAACAGAAATTACAGTGGAAAGAAATTCAGAGACTAACATTCAGTTTTTCTTTTTTTTTTTTTGAAATTACTGCACTGGAAGATAAAAAACAATGAAACTACCATAATAGTGACAATTGAAAGAAAATATGATCTTGCACATACTGTGTAAAAGAAACCGGTCACAGGAAGCCCCAGTTTGTATAATTTCTTTTATATGAAATGTCTAAACTAGGAAAATCCATAGAAACAAAGAATGAAGTGATTGCTTATCATTAGTAGAATAATAGGATAAACTACGATACCTGCATACCATGGACTGTAACTATTAGAAAGAATTACTCATAATTATGCCAGGAATACCTGCACACTATTGCTGAGCAAGAAAAGCAAAATTGAATTAAGTGTTATGTTCAGTTTTGTAAAACATGACAATTAAATGTTTGTATACGTAAGACTCTGAACATAGGGGAAAATATGGAGAAAGATAGACTAGGCTTGGGGGTGGGGGGGTGGTTACTAAACTGTAGGGATAGAGAAGGTAGGCAGAGGTGGAACCAAAGAAAAGGTGAAGTCTTCGGGAGAGGTGTGTTTTATTTATCTTGTATTACTTGAGGCTACATGTGTTCATTTGCGTCAGTCGTGTCCAGCTCTTTGTGACGCTATGGGCTATAGCCCACCAAACTTTTCTGTCCATGGAATTTTCCTGGCAAGAATACTGGAGTGGGTTGCCATGCCATTCTCCAAGGGATCTTGGACCCAGGGATCAAACCTGTGTTTCCAGCATTGCAGGTGGATTCTTCACTGTCTGAGCCCTCATATGTATAACCTATACCACAAAGCTTGATGCAAACTAAGACACGGAATGCTGAGCCCCCCGGGAAGCCCCTGAGTCTACATACTGAGAAATGAAACAGTTGCATATGTAAATACTGGGACAGTGCAAGACACAGAAAACCTGAACAGACCCACAGCTATGGAAGAAATTGAAGGCATAATTAAAAACCTGTTCATAGACTACATCTGAATTCTCATTTCTGTAAAGAACTGAAAGTTCCAATTTAAACTGTCCTAGATCATAGTCACAGATAGAAATTTTCCAAGTATATTATGTGACACTCCTTAATAATAAAACCTCATAGACAATACAACAAATGAAACCTTTCAACTAGTTTCCTTCTTGAGTACAGATGCAGATGCTTTAAATAATAAACGATAGCTAGTGTTATAGTAAAATAGTCTATCCTGATGGTGCAGGGTAAATTCGACATTAGGAAATCTTCAGTTTAAAGGGAAAATGTTTTATTTTGTTAATAGATGCAAAAATATAAAATTTTGCCATCATATCCAGTAAAAGATCTTAAAATGGAAAAGGAGTTTTATTTTCTAGAGCTGTCAGTGAGGGTTATTGAGAGCATTCCCCTTGATTGAGGACCATCTCCCAGAGTTTGCTCAGTTTCATGTCCATTGAGTCGATGATGCCATCCAACCATCTCATCCTCTGTCACCCCCTTCTTCCTCCTGCCTTCAGTCTTTCCCAGCATTAGGGTCTTTTCCAGTGGCTCGGGTCTTCACATCAGGTGGCCAGAGTGTTGAAGCTTCAGCGGAATAAGAGTAACTGGCACCAAATGTAATTTGCAGTGAAATTCACATCAACTGTGAAATTAGTCAAAGCGTTTGGGGCTGCAGGGGCCTAGGAAGCATGTATATTCTCTTTGGAGGATGAAATCTTCATTCTGGTTTTCAAAGAATTTCCTCAACTAAATTTTCAAGGACAGTAAGTAGTAAAGTTACCAAATACACGAGGAAAGAAAGACTATAAATGAAAACTAAAGGAATAGATCCACAGCGAGTTCACATAACATTTCAAGCAGCATAATTAACGGTAGAACTTAAGAGTGCTTTCTTGCTGATACCTGGTCTAAGCCAGGGTGATCACTATCACTGCATCTGTTCAGTGTCCCGGAAGCTAAGCCAGGACTGGGGGCTTCCCAGGTGGCTCAGTGGTAAAGAATCCACCGGCAGTGCCGGAGACGTGGGCTTGATCCCTGGGTGAGGAAGATCCCCTAGAGAAAGGCATGGCAGCCCAGTCCAGTGCTCTTGCCTGGGAGATCCCATGGACAGAGGAGCCCGGCAGGCTACAGTCCATGGGGCTGTGAAAGAGTCAGACCTGACTAAACAACAACAGGCCAGGGCTGATGACAGGAAAAAGAGGGTAAGAATAAGAGAAGAGCAAATAGCATCATAAGTAATTGCAGATGAGATAATCATACAGTTAGAAGATCCCAGATTATTAAAGCAACAATACAGCAAGTCAGTTGTATTTCTTTATACTAGTCAGCATAATTAAAAAAAAGAAACATATATTTACACTAAACAACCCAGTTTTTTCAACATAGAAGCTGGGGCATTGAGGGTAAGGAGAAGAGATGAAAGTGGCAACTATAAATTTAAAGAGACATTGTTTTTGTTTGCAGTATGTAAACCATTCTTGGATACTGATTGAGAAACAGAAGAGAAAGTTAAAAGAAAATCATTTATAACATTGATGATACAATTGAAGTTTTGAACACTGACTTCATTTTTTTTTTTTTAAAGGAACTTTTCATTAAGATATGTTGATATTGGCTGTGGTGGTTATTTTAAGTGTTGTCTTTTAGAAATAAGTACTGAAATATTTGTGAAGTGATAGGTTTATAGAATTCAACAAAGTATACAAAGGGAGGAGTTGATAGGAGTGGATTGGATATATGGTCTTCTGGTTTTGGAGGCTACGTGATAGATATAGGGGTTCATTATACTGTACATTATGCTATGTGCATAGTATATATGTATATATGCATAGTACATTATACTATACATAGAACATGTTTGAAATTCTCTATATTAAATATGCAAATAAGAAAGTACAACTGAAATCAGAATAACAAAAGGAAGTTAAGAGTCTTAACAAAAGATGTTCAAGTCCTTTTTGATTACAAAACTGTCTAAATAGATATTTGGCTTGAAAGATCCAAACTTGTGAAAACTGTCTGCTTTCCCAACTCACATACGTAGAATTAGTATATTCCAAGTAAATTTCCAGTAAGTTTTTGGTGTAACTTGAGAAACTGATTCCGTGATTTCTGCGGCCTTTTAAAGGACCAGGGATTATCTGGAGCAGGAAAAGCAAGCTGCTGCCGACTGTTTCCGTAGAGCTCTGTCGGAACACGGCTTTGCTGTCTGCTCATCTGTCACTTGTGGGCGCTTTGTGCAGGAACCGGGGTGGCCCACAGACTCAAAATACTTACTTTTCTGGCCCGCAGTGAAATAGCTGGCCAACTGACACTTTGGTTTCGGGTCTCTGAGTCTAGGTGGTTCTCAAAATATGTCTTGAATTAGCTGATCAGCAGCAGCAGCAGGACCTGGACATTTATTAAAAATGCAGATTCTCAAACTATACACCAGACTTACCAGGTGTGGGACCCAACAATGTGTTTTAAGCCAATTAAGAGAACTTTTGGTGTATAATTCTGAAGTAGAACAAGTTGGGCAGAGTAGCTCTTCCAATTATTAGGACTAATCATAAAGCTGTATGAGGCATTTTTGCCAGAATAATTAACCATTTGGTATGGAAATAGACAAAAATAACCTATCAGCAATATAACAAAGCCTCCAAACTTCACAAAAGAGTTTTGAATAATAAATTTAGTAAGTGGTATTATTTATGAAGAAACCTAATTTCTTGGAGGTATAGTACTGTAGCAGTGTTCATGTAGTGACAGGATAGTCTAACAAAAAGCCTTAATATAAAATTGTTCTTTGTAAAGTACATTTAATACAGTTAATATAAATTAGGATTCCAGTGGATTTTGAAACTGAATAAAATTATTTGAGATTATTTTCGTAAGAATAAATATATAAAAATGGCACAAAAATAAAGTGAGAAGAAAGTATGGTAATGAGAAGAACTTGTCTTACTGGATACTGACTTTTCTAGTAAGAGACTATAATTGAGACAACACAAATTTGACACAAAATAGATCCAGGTGTGTTTGGGAAGTTACTGAATAGAAAGAAAGAGGTAGTTCAGTTTAGAGGAAAGGGGAATGTTGAATTACCATTAAATAAAAGATTTATCAAAAGAGAAATAATAGACTGAGAAAATATTACATGTCTCTCTAAGTAAAAAGCCAAACTGTGAGTTAATATGAATGGACAGCCTTACAGAAAGTGGGCAGTGAACAAAGGATATAGATTATTTACATAAAAGGAAATCTAGATGATTAATAAACATATTAAAAGATGTTCAACCTCTCTAATCTGAGAAATACAAATTTAAAGTAAGCCCGGTTCATCACAGCACTGTTTATAATAGCCAGGACGTGGAAGCAACCTAGATGCCCATCAGCAGACGAATGGATAAGGAAGCTGTGGTACATATACACCATGGAATATTACTCAGCCATTAAAAAGAATTCATTTGAACCAGTTCTAATGAGATGGATGAAACTGGAGCCCATTATACAGAGTGAAGTAAGCCAGAAAGATAAACACCAATACAGTATACTAAAGCATATATATGGAATTTAGAAAGATGGTAACGATAACCCTATATGCAAGACAGAAAAAGAGACACAGATGTATAGAACAGACTTTTGGACTCTATGGGAGAAGGCGAGGGTGGGATGATCTGAGAGAACAGCATTGAAACATGTATATTATCAAGTGTGAAACAGATCACCAGCCCAGGTTGGATGCATGAGACAAATGCTTGGGGCTGGTGCACTGGGATGACCCAGAGGGATGGGATGGGGAGGGAGGAGGAAGGGGGGTTCAGGATGGGGAACACATGTAAATCTGTGGCTGATTCATGTCAATGTATGGCAAAAACCACTACAATATTGTAAAGTAATTAGCCTCCAACTAATAAAGATAAATGAAAAAAATAAATAAAATAGACAAGCTGAAAAATAAATGAATAAATTTAAAAAATAATAAAGCCTGGTAGATACTGGTTTTTCCCCCTTCCCCCAAAGTAGTATTTGTATAACAAGCAAGCATGCTTGTTATGCAAATATTGTATATCTGCCTTGAGTGGAGGTGCTGAGAGTCTTTACTACTACTGGGATTGTGATTTAATCCATCCAGACTTCTACTAAAGTTTAAAATACATTCACCCCTTTCTTTACCCAGTAATCCTTGTGAAATGAATGAAACTAATGTGTAAGGATATATGTTCAGTGATGTTTTTTATGGTTGTTATTTGTATTGGTAAAAGGTGAATACAACTTAAAGTCCTTTAGTATATGAATGATAGGGTTGTGTTAAAATGATGAGTGTATTTGAAATATCTTGTTAGTGTCAAAAAGAATGAATTGGCTTTAATTTCCTTCAAGAGATACCTACAATATTAATTGGAAAAGGTAAGTTGCAGGGTAATATCTCATTTATATTAAGAACAAAAACAAGCATGACAATAGTTCATGCATATGTTTATATGCTCGTGGAGAATAATACAGGAGGACATATTTTTAAACGTTGTTTGCTTCCAGATAGATAGGATGGGAATAAAACTGACCAGGGGAGAAGGGAATTATTGAACTTTTTAAAAATGATACTTAACATTTCACTAGTTGGAATTAAACAAATGGTTTTTTCCCTCCTGTTGAATGTGAGCAGGTTATTAGCAGACATGTTTCTTTTTTCCAGATTTCCCCCTTAGGAAAGTTTTCTGCTCTATAGAGCAGGCTTGAAGAGTTATTATTCTTCTGGACTTGAAGTTTTTTTGAGTCAGGCCCAGTTCAGTGGATATCATATACCGCTCCTGAAACAGCTTTTCTCTACAGTAACAAGAAGATTTTGGTTGAAACTGTTGCAGAAGTACATTGTGAACAATCTGTGCAGCTAAGAGTAGAATCAGTAAATGCCCAGATTTTAATTTTTAATAACTGATGTTTTATCCAGACTGTAAGAGCTTACCCAGACTCACCCTTACTTCTTGGCGTTGCGTCTCTTCTGACAGCTCCATCAGGGCAGCGTCCCTGTGTCTTACACGGTGACGACCGTCGCGCCCCATGGCATCCCACTCTGCACGGGCCAGCACATCCCCGCCTGCAGCGCGCAGCAGGTCCCGGGGTGCTCCGTGGTCTTCAGCGGGCAGCACCTCCCCGTCTGCAGTGTGCCTCCCCCCGTGAGTGTGCCGTCTTCTGCGGAGCGGCTCAATACGCCATAAACCAAACCCGAGAGGCTGGGGGCTTTCGCCTTCAAGTAAAAAATGCAGTTTTATTGCAACAGAAATCTCAGTTGCACCTGTACAGTAACAGTTTAGTAGAATTAGCTTTCAAACTTGATATGTTTTTACATTAATTAAGTTACACATATTTTAACATTCTTTGAAGGTCAAATCATATTCCTTCACATGTCTGCACTGTTTAAAATTAAACCTTAATAAAGATTGTCCTTCAGGTTTTAACATAGGATATTGAACTGATTAGTAATAAAGTCTCAGACAATTTGGTGATCAACATTAATAGCCTCAGCACTTGCTGGGTTTTTAATAGGCACTTTGAGTTGCTTCGACTTACTTATTCCATACTATAGGAAGCCTGTGATGAAAATAGTACCCTTATTTTCTAAATGATGAAATTGAAAATGGTTTGCTTAATTATCATAGAAGCAATTAGCATGAGAAAACAGGAGTTCACACTCACTTCTTTCTGCCTCTTACAAGCTTATACTTGATCCTTTACCACTCCCTAGTGCAGCCCCCTTATTTGAAAAACAGGTAGCTGAAAACCAGAGAACTTAAGCGACTTGTCTAAGGTCAATACAGTCTTCGAAGTAAAGCACTTTGCTAAATCTTAATATAATCCTAATAATCCTGTCTGAATTTGAGATTAAAACAAACACATACATATAAATACTAAACCAATTTAACATTAATTTACCCATGCATGGTTTCTCATTAATAGATTATAGAACCAATGTGCTAAATTAGCAAACTAAAATACTGAGAGATCATAAAGCATTTAGTTGTGAATTGGGCTTTTAGAAATAAAAAAGTCTACAAGATTGAAAAGGACAGCTTCTTGCAAAGTAGTAATGTCTGCTACATTTTAAGCCAAGTGGGAAGAGACTCCTTCTCTGTGGCACTTTCCCTTCATTTTCGTATGTGTTACAAAAGCTTAAGTAAAAGATAGCTGTTTTGACTGATTTATAAGAACTATGTAAAATCCAGAATAATTACTAGTTACCATTCATTTTACTAATATATGCAAAAATGTGCAAGTATCTCATTGTTACTATAGGTTATTAAGACATTTTTATGATTCTGGGAGGACTATGGCAGTAACGTTTCAATCTGATTGTATAGTTGTTTTTTTTTAATTAATATATTCTGATACTCTCAACAAAAAGTAATGATTTCTCTTACAGATGCTTCAAGCATGTTCTGTTCAGCACTTACCAGTACCGTATGCTGCATTTCCACCCCTTATTTCCAGTGATCCGTTTATTTTACATCCTCCCCATCTTTCTCCTCATCATCCTCCTCATTTGCCACCTCCAAGCCAGTTTGTCCCTTTCCAAACACAGCAGTCACGATCGGTAGGTATCTTTTCTCTTATGTCTTTAACTTTTACAGAATATTTAGACCTAAAAGATTAATGTAGTAGATGTTTAAGTTGTTATCATTTAAAAATTGTAACTTTGACAGTTTCCTGGTTCTTAAAAGAACTAAGAATCCCCACACATAGAAATATATATAAGCAATAATTGTACCTACAGTTACCTTGGTTTATTAAGTTTTTCTAGTTATTTTATATGAAACTTGTCTAATCAAATTCTTTTGTATCTGCAATCCTTTGGAAATTGAATCTGGGAAAAAAAAACCCACAGTTCTAGTTTTTCCTTTCATACATTTCTAAAATGGGAAAATGAAAATATTATAAAAATGTTTATACTTGTTAGAATAATATTTATATTCATTTAGGCAAGTAAGTAATCCTTTGAACCTCAATTGTTTTTTCCCAAAGGCTGGTTTTATACTGTGTTCTGATGAAAAGTAGATGAGATACTCTGTTAGCATAGTTCACTCTGTCCTGGAGCTGGAATATAGCTAAGAGGCATAATATTTCCAGGGGCTGGAGGGATCAGTGGGGGGAAACACACTGGAAGAAGGCCCCATTGTTTTCTAGACAGGCCAAGTTGAACATCTGAACCATGATTAAAGGAGAATAAGGGAAAGAACGTATGGAAATGGTTAGAGTGGAAATGGCCTTGTGAATGGAGCTTGATGGTTTACCCTAAGAGAGCCTGACCATGCTTTACTTAGGATTTATACACCATGCTTGGTCTCAGGAGGAGGTGAGATACAAGCTTACATGGCTGCTTTCCTGAAAACTAGAAGCCAATTATGACAGAAGTTTGGCTAATCTGAAAAGTTGAAACAACTCCCACAAGAAAATCTTTTATTAGAATCAGGACAGGATTCATGCCAGGATGTTCCTTAGGAAGCTTCCAGTACCTGAGAATTCAAGGTTAAAACTAAATTTAGCCATTATACAAGCATACATAAGCTTCCAAAGTAACTGTTAGCAGTTACTTGTATTTGAATAATGTGTTGCTGTTCTCTTAACTGTGGGAAGAAGTTAGACTAACATTTAAGAATACATGTTCCCAAGAGATCAGATTGAAAACATCAGCCCCAAAATGTGTACACAGATGTTCATAGCAACATTATTCCTAATAGCCATAAGTGGAAACATTCCAGGTGTCCATTGACTGATGAATGGATAAACAAGGCATGGTATATCTATCCAGTAGATTATTACTCAACTCTAAAAAGAACAAAGTACTAATATACAGACTACAAGATGGATGAACCCTGAAAACATGCTAAGTGAAAGAAGCGGATACAAGGGCCACATCCTGTGTGATTCCATATATACATGACATATCCAAAATAAGCAAATGTATAGAAATATAAAGTACATTAGCAGTTGTCTAGAACTTGGGAAGGACTGAGGGAAATTAGATAGTGGTTATGATTGTACAACTCGTGTGAATATACTAAAATCCACTGAATTGTACCCCTTAGCAGGGTGATTTCATAGTATGTGAATTTTATCTCATGCTATTTTTTAAAAAATGATTGGGCGGAGGGGCAACATAGGCTATGTGCTTTGCAAAACACTGTGTGCTTTCTGAACATTGTCTTGGTGTTCAGATCACACTTTGGAGGTAGGCTGTGAACATGTCAGCTCTGCAGATGACAGTATTGAGGTTCAGAGTGAGTAATTTCTGTAAGAGCCGCAGGGCTCATCATTTACAGCACCGAGTTTGTCTAATGCCAAAGCCCATAAGCTTTCTGCTGTAAAATAACCGCCTGCTGTGTCCTCTACTGTTTAGCCCTAGCTCTCATTCACGGTACACACCGTCTTTGATTCCGTCTGTTAAAGGTTGTGTCTGCAATTGATGTAGTTCACTGTGCCATGACTTCAGAAACGTCATCTTTTATGTAACTGGCTTACTACATGACTTTTTGTCTTTCTCGATATCATTTTTAAGGGAAAGTTCAAATAGTGAAAGAAATGTATCCTTTAGTGAATAGTGGAAATGTTTAATAACATGTTTGAGAGATTTTCTTATTGAAATTCAGTTAAAGGCAGTGAGAGTTTACTGTAGGCTATATGTCCACTTGTATGAATTTAGATTGACGTGAACATCAGAAAATGCATGACCCGAAAGAATTCTTTGGGTTTTTTTATTTTGATTTTTGTTATAAAACGCAGTCTATCGGTCTGAACACTTACATTAGTTTGCTTCCCCCACCCCACCCTTCAGCCTCTGCAAAGGATAGAAAACGAAGTGGAACTCTTAGGAGAACATCTTCCTGTGGGAGGTTTTACTTACCCGCCATCTGCCCACCCCCCGACATTACCTCCATCGGCTCCTTTGCAGTTCCTGACACATGATCCTTTGCATCAGGAGGTTTCATATGGAGTAGTAAGTTTTCATTTGTTATTAATTTATTGCTTGCTTTGGTAACTAACTTGAGTTCTGCTTCAGTATAACTCTACATGTTTTGAATTTTAAATGTATTCTTGCAGTCAGTTGGAAAATTGTATTTAGAAGCACACCTAAGAGTATTCTTGTTTTAAACTAGTTGTTGCACCTTTGTTAATGTTTTAAGAAATACTAAATACCCTTGAACAATAAATAACTTTCTAGGTTTTTAAAAATGAAGAGACTTTATTCAACACCTTAAAAAGTTGTGGATGTGGAATGATCTTAAATTGTCTTAACATTCTTTCCCTACAGCCTTATCCTCCATTTATGCCTCGGAGGCTCACAGGACGCAGTAGATACCGGTCCCAGCAGCCCATACCACCTCCCCCCTACCATCCCAGCTTACTACCATATGTGTTGTAAGTTCTGTCTTGTTTTTTAATGAGTTCTGCATTTTGACACCCTTGAGATACTCTTCCCTTTATGAACAATTTTATGTGTGTTAGAGACTTGTTTTTATTTGATGTGAAGAGGTTGGGGTGGGGGACCATTTGAGGCTGAAAGAGAAGAGCAGGACAGGGGAGCAGCGGGGGCGGGGTGCAGCAGAAGTTAGGCGGAGAAGTGTAAGTCGCTGGCCTCTTTCACGGCAGGCATTACCCGCCGCTTCCCGTGGTTTTCTAGCATGTGATGCTGCCCCTTCTCTCAGGGGACGCCCCAGAGAGGAGCTATATCTGTGCCTTAGAAGTACTCTGCTAGGGTTGGGTTTGTAACAGAAACACCCATGGCTTAAACATCATAGTTCAGTGATATCTAGAATTAGGTGATTCAGACCTGGTTTGTTAGCTCCATAACTGAGGAATGGGTCTACCATCCTCAAAATTTTATGGCTTCCTCTGCATGATAGAAGATGACTTCTCAGGCTCTGGCCATCACATCCACATTCTAGCTAGCAAAAATGAAACTGAATCTCTCTGCCTACTTGCTTCCTCTCAAGAATAATTCCTAGAAGTTGCATGTATGACTCTTGCCGACATTCTGTTGGTTAGAATCTAGACCCATGTCTCTAAGTACTTCTAGAAAGGCTAGGGAATGTTGTTTTTATACCAGAGGGCCATGTGCCTATATCATACTATTTTGAAAATTGTAGGTTTATTATCTTAAAATCAAATACTATAAATCTCCTAATTTTGTTCTTAAACTGATTTTACTTAAAGTCTTTTACATGTCCATATAAATTTTAAGATCAGCAAATCAGTTTCTACTTTAAAAAAGCTGGAATTTGGTGGGATTATGTGAAATCTATAGATGAGTTTTGGAAGAGAATTGACATCTTTATTGAATCTTCTGACCTACTTATATGGTATATTTCTCTCTTTACTACCTTTTCAAATTTATCCTAGCAGTATTTTTACAGTTTTTATTTTATAGGTCTTGCACATGTTTGGTTAAATTCATCTGTAATATTTCATGTTTTATTTTTATTCTGTTGCAAATGATATTCTTTTAATGTCAGTTTTTAATTGTTTATTGCTAGTAAAATCAGATTCTTTAAAGGGTTGTCACTGATGAACACTGATCATTCTTTATCCCTGTAGCACTGGCCTTGTTCTTCTCATCTTGTTCATTGATACAATGCATTAATGTATCAGTGCTTGTGTTGGTTATTTTCACTGCAGATCAATGCTTCCAGTGCCACCTGCAGTGGGCCCAACTTTCAGCTTTGAATTGGATGTGGAAGATGGAGAAGTAGAAAATTACGAGGTTAGTAGCTGAACTGTGAGTTGATTTGGGGAGTTTGTATGCATAAAAATACTGTACTACTCAACTCATTCATCTAATTAAACACTAGGTAAATCCGTTGTATATTTCAAGATACAAATATGTCAAAAATTATTTCAACATGTACCACACAGTTATGATAACAAGATAGACTGTATTAGAATTACATACAATTCCTGTGAGAGAATGAAAATGAGAAAATGATGAATTATGATTGGATGTTCTGAAAACATTTTGCAGCTGCAGAAGTGTGAAGAGTCAGTTCCTGAGGGATGGGAAAGCTTTTTCATGCCTAAGATTAAGGCAGGGAAATGCTGAATATTCTTGAGGAAGAACATAATATCTGACTAAAGTGAGGGGAGAAAATGGAGATTTGATTGAAAAACTCAACTGGTTGTATTTGAGTGCCCTGTGCTTGCTCCGGTACAGAATGAACATAATTTTGAATATTGTGGGAGGAAGGAACCACTAAATATTTTGGTGTTTATCAATCAGATTACTGTCTTAAAGAGTCAGAATTAGTAGCATGAAGAAATAGATGAAGTGGTTCAGAGTTGGTGGCGGGGTAACCAGTTTTTACCAGATAGTAAATTATAAAACCATGCAAGTTCTGAACTTTGAAAACTTGAGGTAGAAAAGAATACACTTTGAAAGACATTTTAACACTATAATCAACAGGATTTGATTGTTGAATGGTTTATGGTAGTGTCAGGATTGTGAATGGGAGGGTTGCAAGAGAAGATGCTCTCCAAAAGGACTGCAGTAGCTTGTGAAGAGGGCTGACTCCAAGATGCCAGGACAGATAGACAATGCCACTTAATTTAGATGATGTTGACATTGCTATATTATTTGAGGTTTGGAGTAGAATGGACAAAAAGGGTTGGAAGACATATTTGGATTTGGAAATGTTGAATGTGAGTGACTGTGACTTTGTTTTGGTACTGTGGGCTAGCTGCTGCTTACCCCAGCCTCACTCAGTCTCTATACAATATAAGTATTGGAACAGACTTTTTGTTGTTCGTTTTTAGGTAAATGGAATCTGGGTACAGAGAGGAAAGACACATACACCTAGTCTTAGAGCATCCCTCCCCCCTTTTTAGTGCATGGGGAAGAAATCAGGCCAAATGCTATATTCTTCTGTCGTTTTAAAATGCTGTTATGTTACTTTCTGCATGTAGTCACACAGCAGTGTCGTTTGGATTCCATTCTCAGATTTCTTGAGAAATGGGCTATAATACTTTTATGTTTCTACACTGTTGATGCTAGTTTTGAACAGAGTAGTAAGAAAAGGAGTTGGTTATCCTTTTGGCATTCTGTACTAAAATTATCATAAGTCATATTGCTGAAAGCAAGACAGAAAACAGATCATATACATATCAGTGGTAAAAACAGTGATACCATCCCAGTAAAAGAAAAATATTTTGTGTGTGGCATTAGAGTCTCTTTCTAAATTGTAGTTGGGTTTGACTGTGTTTAATCTTCTGCAAAGTCGTACTTTAACCCAGTCGAGAAAGTACTTGGCTGTTTGTGGCTTTACTTGATGGTGTGCATGCCCCCCGCACTCCCCGTCCCCGAGTACTCACTGTTTGGAGTCTCTCCTCTACATCCTTGCTTCAGTACCTTTACGCCCCTTGATTCTTCTCCTTAAGAACTTTGCCCGATCCTTGCACATGGCTGTCTTTCAAGACCCAGCTAATGCTGCCTCTATGAAAGGCATTTCTGGTCTATTCCCAGGTCTGTATGAGTCTCTCTCTCTCCTTTTTGCCTTCATAGGTGTTATAAAACTTTGCATAATTAGTATGTCCTGCCTTCAGTTGTCTTGCCTTCTGATCATGTAGATTTGTTGAGGGCTCAATATCATTTTACTCCATCCAGTAAGGCCTTAACGTAGTAGTCATAAATCGTATTAGTTGACCTAAGTGTTCTATAGAATATAAGAGAGAGGTATAAAAGATATATCACCTGTATCATAAATTTTATAGCTAATTGTAGTCAGCATCGATAAAATAAAACAAGTTACCATCTATTTAGCATTCAGGGACACTGAGGGGCACGCGTGGGGCCTGGGAGAAGGGTCTCTAGGTGACCCGCTTCTCCAAACAAGGCGGCACCAGAAGGGGCAGCAGTGCCACAGCATTGACTGTTGAGTCTGCGGAAGGTTAGACTTCTTCCTCTCATTGTCCATCACTGTTTCTTTGTTACCTATTCTCTTAACCATGTCACCTATTCTCTTAACCAGTGGTAGCCTTAAAAAAGGGGGTGGGGGGCAAGCGACCTTTATATGGAGACCTGTACCTGCATGATTGTAGAAAGCAAAGGAGCAGTTAAAACTATGGAAAACCAGGAAAATGGAGAGACTAGGGTAAAATCTGTTAACATAATAGATATAATGTGTTGAAACTTACCACCTGAGTTAAAATCCATGAGTTCATGAGTGATTCTTCAAAAAAAAAACAATAGAAAGTAAATTCGTTGGTCTTATCCTTCCTATTTATATAAATTATGCAGCTAAGTATAGTTTGATATGAGGCAGTTGATCAATATAAGAAGCATTTTATCTAATAAATGAAGAAAGAGTAATAGAATATTACAATTTTTAATGAATTAATGGATCCTAGGCAGTGTTCCATCAGTGCTAACTAACATAAAAACAAGACATGCTGAGCCGTATGATGGAAATAGTAAAACCTTCCAAATTATAGAAAGTAGAGGGGACAAGGAATGTATTAAACCACAGGAATTGGTGTGGGGAGGTTCAGTCAGCAAAACTCAGACTGGGAACTTCTACAGGCCATTGACCTGGTTTCTTTAACAAATATAAGAGTAAAAATACATACTTGAGACATCAGGCAGTCTTAACAGGTTTATTTGGATCCTAATTTGAACAAACTATTTCAAAGAGTATTGAAAATAATTGAAACAATCAAAGATATTTAACATTAAGGAATTACTAGTTTGGAGAGTGTAATGATGTTACTGTTGTTATATTTTAAATAGTCTTTTAGTTTTTAAAGTGCTGGTGGTTCTCAACCTGGGGACAGTTTTATCCCTTAAAAGGTATTTAGCAGTGCTCACTTCGGCAGCACATATACTAAAATTGGAACGATACAGAGAAGGTTAGCATGGCCCCTGCGCAAGGATGACATGCAAATTCGTGAAACGTTCCATATTTTTTCACCAGCCCAGGTTGGATGCATGAGAAAAGTGCTCAGGGCTGGTGCACTGGGAAGACCCAGAGGGATGGGATAGAGAGGGAGGCGGGAGGGGGCATTGGGATTGGGAATACATGTAAATCCATGGCTGATTCATGTCAGTGTATGGCAGAAACCACCGCAATATTGTAAAGTAACTAGCCTCCAGCTAATAAAAAAAAATGGAAAAAAAATAAAAAAGACTAAATCAAATTAAAAAAAAAAGGTATTTAGCAAAGTCTGGAGATCTTTTGTATAGACCAGCGCACATGTGCTGAGTTGCTTCAGTCGTATCTGACTCTTGGCAATCCTCCTCGCCAGGCTCCTCTGTCCATGGGATTCTCCAGGCAGGAATACTGGAGCAGATTGCCATTCCCTTCTCCAGGGGATCTTCCCAACCCAGGGATTGAACCCGGGTCTCCTGCAGCTCCTGCACTGCAGGCAGATTCTTCAGTGCTGCGCCACCGCAGATAGTGTAGAGGCCTGGGTTACTGCTGAACATCCTGCCGCGCATAGGACAACCCCCCGCAGCACACCTTCACCCACGCCTCCAGTGTCCAAAACGCTGAGGCTGGCGGACTGCCTTAGACTTAAAAGCAGAACTGTCTTACCAGTGAAATACCACGCTTTAGATTTCTTTCAAAATAATGTGGGTGTAGGAGTGGACAGTGAAAAATGAAATAAAATTAGCCATGACCTGTTGAGCCTGGGTAATAGGCATATGGAAGTAATTTCTTTATACTATTTTTCTACTTCAGTGTATATTTAAAATTTTTCCATAATAAAGCTAGTTTTAAAAAATAAACATGTCTGAATATAAAATTCAAAGAAGGATATGCAGATATGTCTTTCTTTCCCTCTGTAGGCCCTGTTAAACCTAGCAGAGCGACTGGGAGAGGCCAAGCCTCGAGGACTGACTAAAGCAGACATCGAACAGCTTCCTTCTTACCGGTTCAATCCTAACAACCACCAGTCAGAACAGACTTTGTAAGTACATTTTTCTGACATCTTTCTGTATTAAATTTCCTTTTCCACTTTCATGAAATAAAAGCTTGAAAGTCAAAGATAACTTGATGCAGGAAAGTAGTGACTGTTTTCATAGTCTAGGCTTGTGCTGTCCAATAAGATAGCTGTTGAAGTTAAAATTTTTAGTTGCACTAGCCAGTGATGCTGTATCAGAGATGGAGGTGTATGGCATTTCTATCACCTGAGAAGGTTCTAGACAGTGCTGTTCTGGACTTTTATGTTGCCTAGAAATCTTCACGGTTTTTAACTCTAGGATGTTTTGTATTAGATCGAAAAGTCTCATACCTGTAACATTTGGGGGGTTTCCCCAAAGATTCTGCTGATTATAGCATCTTTCTTAATAGCACCTCTACTGAAATAGAGTTCACATTTAAAGTGTACAATCCAGTCGTCCATCATCACAGTCAAATTGATATCATTTTCATCACCCCCAGTAGAAATACTTTATCAATTAATAGCCACTCCCCATTTCTCCCCAACCCTCTAAAGCCCTGACTCAGCCCCCCACTAATTTACTTTTATCTCCATAGATTGGCCTGTTCTGGACATTTCATATAAATGGAACCAATATAACATGGGGTCTTTTGGGTCTGGCTTCTTTGATTTAGCATAATGTTTTCAAGGACCACCATATTGTAGCTTGTATCATTTCATTCCTAATGCGCTACACCATTTTACATTCCCACCAGCAGCGTACAGAAGTTTCCTTTTCTTCATATCCTCACCAATGCTTGTTATTGTCTGTCTTTTGATTCTAGCAGCCCTAGTGGGAGTGAAGTGTTATCTCTTGAGGTTTTGGTTTTCATTTTCCAGCTGGGCTAGTGATGTTGAGCTCTTACTATACTTACTGGCCATTCTCTTTGGAGAAATGTGTATTCACATTCTTTGTTTTTTAATTGGGTTGCCTTTATTGAGTTGTAGGAGTTATTTATATTTTATATGTATAGGTCCTTGTAAGACACATGATTTTCAAAAATATCTTTAATTCTGTGAGTTGTCTTTTCATTTTAGATTTATAAAGCATCTTTAGTACCCCTCGTTATTTTAAAGGATAAAGTTAATTTATTTATATGCCTTTTTTGGTGGTGGTTTCTTACGCTTTTGATATCATGTTTAAGAAACCATTGCCTATTCAAATGCAGAGTTCCACAGAATAGCAAGAGAGATAAGAAAGCCTTCCTCAGTGACCAATATAAAGATAGAGGGAAACAATAGAATGGGAAAGACTAGAGATCTCTTCAAGGAAAGTAGAGATACCAAGGGAATATTTCATGCAAAGATGGACTCAATAAAGGACAGAAGTGGTATGAACCTACCAGAAGCAGAAGATGTTAAGAAGAGGCGGCAAGAATACACAGAAGAACTGTACAAAAACAATCTTCATGACCCAGATAACCACGATGGTGAGATCACTCCACGATTCACACTCACGATGGTGTGAATGTGAAGTCAAGAGGGTCTTAGGAAGCATCTCTACAAACAAAGCTAGTGGAGGTGATGGCATTCCAGTTGAGCTATTTCAAACCCTAAAAGATGATACTGTGGAAGTGCTGCACTCAGTATGCCAGCAAATTTGGAAAACTCAGCAGTGCCCATAGGACTGGAAAAGGTCAGTTTTCATTCCAATCCCAAAGAAAGGCAATGCCAAAGAATGCTCAAACTACCTCACAATTGCATTCATCTCACACGCTAGTAAAGTAATGCTCAAAATTCTCCAAGCCAGACTTCAACAGTACATGAACCGTGAACTTCCAGATGGTCAAGCTGGATTTAGAAAAGGCAGAGGAACTAGAGATCAAATTGCCAATATCCGTTGGATCNCCAAAGAATTGATGCTTTTGAACTGTGGTGTTGGAGAAGACTCTTGAGAGTCCCTTGGACTGCAAGGAGATCCAACCAGTCCATCTTCAAGGAAATCAGTCCTGAATATTCATTGGAAGAACTGATGCTGAAGCTGAAACTCCAATAGTTTGGCCACCTGATCTGAACTGACTCATTTGAAAAGACCCTGATGCTGGGAAAGATTGAAGGCAGGAGGAGAAGGGGATGAGATAGTTGGATGGCATCACTGACTCAATGGACATGAGCTTGAGTAAACTCCAGGAGTTGGTGATGGACAGGGAGACCTGATGTGCTGCAGTCCATGGAGTCACAGAGAGTCAGACATGACTGAGCGACTGAACTGAACTGCCTATTCCAAGGTCGTGAAGATCTACACTTGTATTTTCTCTAAGAGTTTAACAGTTTTTAGCTCTTATATTTAGGTTTTTCATTTTTTAGTTAATTTCATATATTGTGTGAGGTAGGAGTCCAACTACATTCTTTTGCATATGAATATTCAGCTGTTTCAACAGTGTTGACTATAATAGTATCTTCATTATTAAGCCTAGCTTGGATGTTAAACCAGGTATTTTCTTGATGATCTGTCACTAAGCAAAACAAAGCACTCTTATTAAATGTTTTAACATCATGCTTTTTTTAAGGTGTTTGATAGATTATTTTAGTTTTAAAGTTTAGATGGTATTTGATATGTGAGATGATTATTTTAGTCTTAAAATTTAAATGGTATTTTGATAAGTGAGATAGTAAGTGGCTTTATGGTTTCGATAGCTGTAACAAAATAGAAACTACTTGATTTTATGGTTAAACAATCTTTCTGGTTTATTTCAGGTGTGTAGTATGCATGTGTGATTTTGAGTCAAGGCAGCTACTTAGAGTTTTACCCTGTAACCATGAGTTCCATGCCAAGTGTGTCGACAAATGGCTTAAGGTAAAATGATGGCATCTGAAAAGAACGACATTGAATTTTCTCTTACTGACCATAGTTTCATGTAGAGTAAGTCCATGGTTTGGTGGAGGGTGCTTAAATTGAAACACAGCTTTCATAATTCTGACCATTTTCTCCTTTGTGTATATGGGAGGGAAAATTCCAAAGACACAAATTCTGATAGTATGCCAGGGTGAAATTATTTCAGGGACTTCTTCTTTTCTTCTTTTTTTTTTTAATAGTAGGATAAAGGGACTTCACTGGCAGTCTGGGGTTAAGACTGCCTTCCAATGCAGGGGGCGCAGGTTCAGTCCCCGGTTGGAGAGCTAAAGTCACACATGCAGTCGGGTGTGGCCAAAAGAATTTTTTTTTAATAGTAGGATAAAAATGTGATACAGTAAAATAATTTAAGTCAACTTTAGGGTTGGTTTGTTTTAGATTATTCTGACTAGGAGATGATAATACTGGCTTAGATAACTTGACAATTGGTGAGGAAGACAGATGAGTTAAAAAAGAATCAGTCTTCCATGTGAGCACAGATTAAGAGTACCCAGTTTTGTCCAAACTGAATCCTAAAGGTAAAGAGTCTAAGCTTTTTAGAAAACGAACTTCTTATATATGCATAGCCCTGACATGTGAGAACAGGATGACCAGGAACACCTGGGTTCCATGTGGCCGATGGCTAGAGTGCGGGGGAGAGGAGCAAGAGGGGGGGTTCAGAGGTGAAGCCAGGAGTCGGCTTTCTGCAGAGTCACTGTGAAGCGTGCGGGAGTTTGGCCTGGATCCCGAAAGCATGTTTCAGAAAGATCACGGCCACTCTTTGAAGAAGGTAATAGAGGAGGTTGATGAAATAAGGATGTACTGGGCCAGATGGAGAACAAGTAGTAGAAGCTGGATGAAAAGAAGAGTACTTGACTTGAGAGCTATCATGATGTAGAAATGAGAGCATTTGGTAAAAAATGCTTTGTAGAACATAAGAGAGCAGGTGTTGCTTCTGTTTCTGATTTTAGCAGCACGACGAATGGTAGTGGCATTTGTTGAGATGGGGTTTTAATTTTAAGCCACATTTGTCTGAAGTGGTGATGGGTAGTCTTGTCTCTGTTAAAACAAACCAAATAAAGAATTATTCATAGGCTATTATTGTTTTAGAGATTTGTGGAGTATTTTTAAGAGATTAAATGACTGTACTTTCTTAATGGAACAAAGAATGTAAAAACCATGTGGAAAGTAAAATAGTTCTGTTGCTTTCAATATGTTTCACTATGTAAGTCAAAATTCAGACAAGTGCTCTCTTCTGTGTTTCAGGCAAATCGTACTTGCCCAATCTGCCGAGCTGATGCTTCAGAAGTGCATCGGGATTCAGAATGACCAGCCTAAGAGCACAAATTCATTTTGGGTGTTCCTCGTCACGTGTATATACGGACTGTCCATTGAACGCAGTCTGTGTGGCTCCCGGCCTCCCTCACCAAAAGGGTCAATGGACCTTTCTTTGCACTGTGTGACTTAATCAACTATAAAAGCTTACAATTAGTCTTCACAATTACGGGATTGTTATACTAACCGTGTGATTGGAACTCCAAAGACTTTTTCTTTAGCTTAATTTTGTGTGTGCACTAACATTCCCTGGTTTTTGTGTGATCATTCCGAGTGTTGCTGCAAGATTACAGTGGACGTGATCTTTTAGCATGTGCTTTCATAAAAAGTGGTAGCTCCAGATGATATAGCAATCTACCTTATATAGAGCCTTCAGAAACTGTGAGTGGAAATGAGTGCAGCGTATGACTGTTGATGGTAAATGTATCTGTGTGTGTGAGAGAGAGAATGTGTGAAACTACTTGTGTGAGGGCATGGTAGCTAATGTGTGTATGAGATCCTATATACCAGCATGTACCAAGAATGTGTGTGTAGTTTTAATTATGCTGCAATGTATACTCTGGTGTGTTATTTAAACAGCACTAGTACTGTACACTGGTTTTCCCCCTCGTGTTTGCTGTTGCACACTGATCGCTAAGGTGCATCAACTATGAGCATCGAATACTCCATCCCTCCCCTCCCAGTGAGTGGAATGAGAAAAGCCTTCTTCCTTTGCTTCAGGCAGCTGTCACCTTCTCTTCGTTGGTAGTCCCAACTGGGTCACTTAAGGAAAAAGTGTAATAGATTCTCACTCCATGAACCTGAAATTTTGATTTTGTCGTGAAAAAGAAATTTTTAAATTTCCAACTTGCTGTTTCCAAAAGAAGGTGCAATATCATACATCATCAGTTAGCAATATTAGCATTTCAATCAGTGATTTGAATGTTGATACTCTCTTGGTTTCCCTTCACATTTTCAGTGAGCTTCTTAGCCGGAAGTGCTTGTGATTCTTTTTTCTTTTAATGTTTCGGTTTGTAGTCTATTCTGAAGATGTTTGAGTAATATATTTCTAAGAACACCACTGGTCCCATGAAGTGTCACCACCTCTGCTTCCACCAGAAAAAAATCTGTTAACTCAGCTTGACTTCTGATATGTTATTTGTTCTAGCTCCCACAGGCAACTAAACTGTTGGAAGAAAACTATATTTCTGTTCTGCCAAGCTCCAGTTCTGAAAGTTGTCTAGTTCTTCCCCCCTCAGGAGACGTGCTTCTCATGGAAATCCTCATTTCCAGGATGGATCAAGTGCTGTGACGGCTCGAGTTCCCTAGACCTGGTGTGCTTTGATGTTTTATCACTTTTCTTTTTTGTTGAATGAGAAAAAAATTAATATAACAGGTGTCCAGAATACTTGCAGGATAAATGAAGATTTGATTTCTGTGTACAAAACAGTGCTGTAAAACAGGAATTGACCTGCGTTTAGTTGCTCTGAAAAGAATACATAGCTGCGCGGGTTTCTTTCTTTTTTTGATAGGTTCCTTGAGCGTAATTGAGGTTTAAAGTCATTTTTCCCAGCAGTGTGTGGATTCCCCTCTCATTCTCCCGGTGTGCTCACCGCTGTCTGCCTCTCCGTCCGCTGACATCCTCGCTCCGTTTGCAGCAGCACGCGCTGCAGCCCTGCGGTCAGGACCGCGACGACGTGCTGCCGGCCTCAGCGTTCAGTCGGCTCTGTGTCCGTTTTCTGCTCAGACAGTGTTAACTACTTGTTACTGCCATGCTCCTTGCCTTCCCTTGAAGACTGTAAGCTCACCACAGCTTAGAGTTCAGTAAAGTCAATTCACACAGAAGCACAATTTTGCCCTTTTCCAGACACTGTTGCCTCTATCTCGTCCTACAAGTAGGATTTTGCATAGTTTGTTTGCCCCTGTATTTGTCAGTGCATCAGAAATACATCTAAACAGTGGTAAAATGCACATGTTACTTTTAAATCATTAGAGTATTCCCTACCTGTTCATAATGAATAAAGTGTGTTAAAGACCAAAATTATTGGCGTAATAATCAACTACATTACAAATCACGTATAGTTTAATCTTTATTTTTTTTAATTAAAAAATCATGTTTAAAATGGCAAAAGCCCATCTTATACATAGACTCTTTTATATAGCTGCAAAAAATTTATATCTGTACAGATCTAACATAACATTACTACACTCAGTATTCATTTTATTGAAGCATGCAAGTAAAGCACTTTTTCTAATTTATATAGATACTTAATTAACAAGGCACACTGTACTAATGACTAGGAAAAGTAGCTCTTTCTTCCCTCCCTGGGATGATGAATTCTTGTCATATACCCCTTTTCCATTAAATTTCTGAGAGGCCGTTGGCAATTTAGGAGGCAGCAGGGTCTGTTTTGGTAAAATCCAGAATTGTTGCACTCTTGTGGCTGATCTCTCTTTGGGAATGTCTTTTCTTCGCATGGGGCTCTTAGAGATGTGTGCAGATTTGCTCATTAAGTAGTTAGTTTGTGTTAGGAGCGTACATGCATGTGTTCCGAACCAGCTCAGCCTAGCCACAGTTAGCAACCGTGTGGCTAGCAGCAGAGAAAGAACGGTTGATTTGTACCCAGCTGTGGACTCCTTAGGTGATGCACCAGATAGCAGGCAGATTGTTTCTTGCCTTCTTCCCCTTTCCTCCTAAAACAATATTGGCTTTACCACCTTAACTCTGCTGTGTTTTTTGTTTTCCTTTGCATGAAATACCACCTTTGTTTGTTTTTAGCACCCCCTCTTCCCCAAAAAGAAAAAAAATGAAAAACAAGGCCTCCAGGTATCAAGATCTCATTAGGGTTTTCTGTCCTGAATTTTTTCAAGCAAAATCTAGAAAATGTGAAAGCCTATTTAGATTTTATACACTCTCTGAAATGTGATTTGTTAAGATTCTTATATTTGGGCCTCTTATAATATTTTAAATGAGATCTACCAACTCATGAAAATATTTTTCACAGATATCTTTAGGCCTTTATTAGAAAGCTATTTTCCCCCTGTTGGTACATTTGGTTACCTCATTTTGCTGTTTGTTTCAGATTATGGAAAGCTCACAGGGGTGTATTTTGGAATCATTTGCTGAGTCATTTCCTCAAATCATACTCCATTGTATCAGTTAACATATAGTTTTAAATGTACGTATTATAAATATCTGTAACCAAATCATTTGAAGGCTTGATAAATTTTTAACAAAGTTTGTACATTTTTTATGAAAGTTACTAGTAATGCTTTACTAAGTAGTGCAATGAATTTTTATTTTTAATCCCTGTGCCCAATTTTGGAGTTGAGAGGGTTGTTGGTAATAAATGTATGATGTACACTTAAAACATTGGGTTGTGTTTGGTGTTACTGTGTTAGGGAAGGGTAGCCGTCATGTCTGTCTGGAGGGAGGGATGTAGGGGACTTCCAGCAGGAAGATAGAGCTCTTGAGCTCCGAGCAGCCAGACTTAACTTTGAGGCAGTAATTCAGATTTTGTTTCTGTGTTTGTGTGAACAACTTAGAAACACAAAAGCAACTTGCTTTATAACTCGTGTGGTATATATGTATGTCTTTAAAAAGGCCAAGAAGATAGCTTGAGTGTAGACACATATGTGCATGGTATAAGCTCATTGAACAGTCAAGTTACATTGAGTGGGTATCTAGAGTTCTTTCTATTTGTGTCAACCATAAGATACAAAAGATAGTTGGGCAGATTTGTTCACATTAGCTATAGTACGTTATGTCTGACTTGTCCACGTAACACGGAAAGAGGAGCTCATCATTTGCCATACATGTTTGTGTAATTGCTTTCCTTTGACTAAAAAAGGAGGAGAGTGAAGCCATCTGCTTATATATTATTACATGCTGAAAGTGGAAATAGAATGCCAAAAAAACCAAAGTAAGGCTGAGTGATAGAACCCAGTTCTCCCCCAGCAGGAAGCAGCCCTTTGCCTTCAGTGCTGCCTTGACAGAAGCATTCAGAAAAGTGACCGGTCGGTCCCTGACTGTGTCCCTGTTTCCCACCATACTTGAAAGGATGTTTGCATTTGAACTGTGAATGTCTCGAAACTTGTTCTGTCTTACATTACAGAGTCATTTCCTGCTCATTCAGTACCTGTGCATTCTCTCCCACCTCCCCACCTACTACTGTAGGCAGCGAGTCCCATGCGGCTGGTTCTGACCAAGGGACCACAAGGGGAGGCCATGCAGCTCTCTCTCCTGCCGTGGTGATGGCAGCCCTGGATCCTGCGTCACTGCCTTTAAGAGAGCTGTCCTAGAAAGCCACTGGATTCCACGGGCTTTCTGTTAACAGTAAACTGAGGCCCTTAGACGACTCGGTCAGGATTTTGTCTTTGCCAATTTATTCCCCCCTTTCAAAAGACTTAAGTCTGTTTAGTCTTATTCTAACTATACTTTGATGATACTAATTGTCAAGTGTACCAGTTAAACACCACTGGCTACAGTTAACTTTTAATAGATCACAAGGTCAGATTTGCACCACATGATAAAATTCTGAAGGATGTTTACAGTCAGGTCATTACCAAGTATCTCAGGTCTGTGTGCCTCAGGCTAATGATAATGGAACATTACCTTTGATATCCCTAGACTTCTCAAGTTTTTCATTGCATGCCTTAATACACTACGGTATGATTAGAAATATTTTACTGTTTGTATAGTTGAATGTAATTTATTTCTATATCAATACATAAGTATGTAAAAAGCAGAGTTAGTTTCTGTGAACATCATATATAGCTTCCCTGGCTAACATTTAAGAACAGAATTTCCTGTTTGTTAGTAAATTCCCAAATTAAAACATTTGTTTATACCACCTTCCAGATTCATACCTATTTAAAAGATTAACTTGCCAATCAGAGAATTGGGCATTCTAAAGAGAGCAACAGACTTTGAACCCATACAGAGTGTGTGGGGTAGACTCCTATTAAGATTGCTCTGAAGTGCACGTGCTCTTAGCCTTTTTCATGTGGTTCTTTCTGCCTCCCAAACTGGCAGGAACTGTAGGAATGAGAAAGATTGAAGGGGGAAAAAAGAACATAGTGACAGCCAGGGATGCTGAATATCACGTTACAGTTTGGAAATGGGCTGTAGGGTCTGTATAGATGTTTCCTCACTACAAAGATGAGGAGAATTAACTCGGGGTGAAGGAACCCACGTTCCCTTCAAACCTCTGTTTCTTGGTCTACACGTGGAAACAGTTTAGTGGCTGGTCAACAAAAGGACCTGCAGCCCACACCCAGTCCCCTGCATTGTATACAGTCAGCAAGTTCACCAGCTGCTTTCTGGGCCTCCCTTTCAGTGTTAGAATCCCCTTCCCGCAACCTTCTGTCATAGTGAACTTAGAGACCCTGAGGCAGCCTCCCTCTCCCCACCGCCCCAGCTCCTTCAGGTTTAAATGACAGTAAATTTTACATTTACTAATAGTAAATAGTAATTTTACATTTACTAATAGTAAATGTCTATTAGTAATAATAGACATTTCTGTAGTCAACATAAGCAATATGGTATCCACATGTTTTAGTTGGTTCTTTTCCTCCCCTTTTACTCCTGGATATGTTCATACTGAACTTCAGCTAAATCAGAAGACTAGAACTTTAACCCCATTACCAAAACAAGGCCAGCCTTGCCAAGAGAAAATGGATCACTGTCTGTGGCTATTTAGGCTTAGAATGTCTTAATTTCAGTAAGGAAGATCATAGATTCCATTTACTCTAATTCCAGAATATATAAAGGAAACTTGGATCCCCGGTCTAATCCAAGTTGCTAAATTTTAGTCAGGGAAGCAAATCAGAATGGAAAAAGTGAGTTCAAGTTCAGTAAATTTTTGTTTCCCACGAAACAAGGAGAGATCCAAGTCCTTCCTAAGGAATGTTCGCAGCACAGATGTGCTCCACAGGTTTTTGTTAAGCAGCAGTGTGGGCCAGGAAGCCTCCAGGATCAGGAGTTCGAGTGCTGTGTGTATTTGTTTCCTCTGAGTGCCTCAACATATTACCACGAATTCAGTGATTTAGAGCAATTTTAATCTCTCAACTTCTGGACCAGAATTTCAAAATCATTGTTGCTTTTCCTTGGAGGCTCTGGGTGAGAACTGCCCATGCCTTTGTCTCCTTGGAGTTCTTTGGCTCATGTAGACACAGAACTTAAGTCTCTGCCTGTGTACACATGGGCCTGCACATCTCCCTTGCATCTCTTATGTGTCTTCAACTGAATGGAAGCCCCCACTCTGCATAGAAGCCAGCTACGGAGGCGCTTTAAGGAAAGCCAGGTTTGTCTGATCTCCGTAAATTGCTTGAATGTTTCAATGAATGAACTCAAGATTCCAGAGTTTCTTGTCAAAATGCATGACCAAAATAAGTAAAGTGAAATGTATCATCAGGTAAGTGAGCAAGTTAGCAATCGTTCTTTTAAGGGTAATAAGAACAAGCCTGGACACCTGTGTCCCAGGTGTGTGGTTTGATCCAAGGTGGCTCCTTTGTTGAATCAAAATCTGATGAATCTTGAAAACATGATAAGTGAAGGAAGCTGGATAAAAGGCCACACATCAAGATATACCCCACATCCAAGGTCAGGAGTGGTGGCTGTGAGGAGATACCCCACGTCCAAGGTAAGAGAAACCCCGCTAAGACGGTAGGCACTGAGAGAGGGCATCAGAGGGCAGACAGACTGAAACCATAATTGCAGAAAATTAGCCAGTCTGATCACACGGACCACAGCCTTGACTAAATGAAACTATGCCATGCCGTCACCCCACTCCAGCACTCTTGCCTGGGAAATCCCATGGACAGAGCAGCCTGGTGGGCTGCAGTCCATGGGGTCGCTGAGTCGGACACAACTGACTTCACTTTCATGCATCGGAGAAGGAAGTGGCAACCCACTCCAGTGTTCTTGCCTGGAGAATCCCAGGGACGGGGGAGCCTGGTGGGCTGCCATCTATGGGGTCGCACAGAGTCGGACACGACTGAAGTGACTCAGCAGCAATAGCAGCAGCAGCAAGCCATGCCACATGTAGGGCCACCCAAGATGGACGGGTCATGGTGGAGAGTTCTGACAAAACGTGGTCCACTGGAGAAGGCAATGGCAAACCACTCAGTATTCTTGCCTTAAGAACCCCATGAACAGTATGAAAAGGCAAAAAGATGGGACACTGAACGATGAACTCCCCAGGTCGGTAGGTTCCCAATATGCTACTGGAGATCAGTGAAGAAATAGAAATAACTCCAGAAAGAATGAACGGATGGAGCCAAAGCAAAAATGACACCCAGTGGTGGATGTGACTGGTGATAGAAGCAAGGTCTGATGCTGTAAAGAGCAATATTGCATAGGAACCTGGAATGTTAGGTCCATGAATCAAGGCAAATAGGAAGTGGTCAAACAGGAGATGGCAAGAGTGAACATCAACATCTAGGAATCAGTGAACTAAAATGGACTGGAATGGGTGAATTTAACTCAGATGACCATTAATCTACTCCGGTGGGCAAGAATCCCTTAGAAGAAATGGAGTAGCCATCAACAAGTGTCTGAAATGCAGTACTTGGATGCAGTCTCAAGAACAACAGAATGATCTCTGTTTCCAAGGCAAACCATTCGATATCATGGTAATCCAAGTCTATGCCCCAACCAGTAAACGCTGAAGAAGTTGAAGTTGAATGGTTCTATGAAGACCTATAAGACCTTTTAGAACTGACACCCAAAAAAGATGTCCTTTTCATTATAGGTGACTGGAATGCAAAAGTAAGAAGTCAAGAAACACCTGGAGTAACAGGCAAATTTGGCCTTGGAGTACAGAATGAAGCAGGGCAAAAAGGCTAATAAAGTTTTGCCAAGAGAACAAACTGGTCATAGCAAGCACCCTCTTCCAAGAACACAAGAGAAGACTCTACACATGGACATCACCAGATGGTCAACACCAAAATCAGATTGATTATATTCTTTGTAGCCAAAGATGGAGAAGCTCTATACAGTCAGCAAAAACAAGACCAGGAGCTGACTGTGGCTCAGATCATAAAATCCTTATTACCAAATTCAGACATAAATTGAAGAAAGTGGGGAAAACCACTAGACCATTCAGGTATGACCTAAATCAAATCCATTATGACTATACAGTGGAAGTGACAAATAGATTTAAGGGACTAGATCTGATAGACAGAGTGCCTGATGAACTATGGACGGAGGTTTGTGACATTGTACAGGAGACAGGGATCAAGACCATCCCCAAGAAAAAGAAATGCAAAAAAGAAAAATGGCTGTCTGAGGAGGACTTACAAATAGCTGTGAAAAGAAGAGAAGCAAAAAGCAAAGGAGAAAAGGAAAGATATACCCATTTGAATGCAG